CTACTGCAGAAAATTACACCTTGCCCCCCCCAGCAACCAGTAACTGCCAAGAGTCCCCATGAATCAGTGGGGCCTCATGGTTCACTCACCCATGCATGAAGTTCCTCGTATTGTATAGGTCTTGTGTAGATAAACACAACTGAAGTGAGTGTATGAATAAAATGGGTATGTCGTGTCCAGAAGACATCTTTTTGCTGCACATCTTCCTGTCCTCTGTCTCTTGTATTTCCATCCCATCATCCAGGAGCCTTGATTTCCATCCCACCATCCATGAGTCTTGATTTCCATCCCATCATCCATGAGCCTTGAAGAAGTGATATAAATGTTCCTGTTAGGGTCTAGACTTGACTAACAATTATTCTAAGCACTTTGACCAATTATGAGTCCCTGCATTAACTTCTGCCCTTTGCAAGGCTGAGAGCAATACTGGTTTCTAGATATAAATGAGTACTTAGAAGGCTTTTAGACAACATCTTCATTTAGCAAAAAAATAGTGGGTTCCCATACAGGGCCCATGATCTCCACAGCCAACCATCTGTTTCCCAGATTTACAGTGCCAGGCATACCTTCCTTCCCTCTTATATAGTGAGCCTCAAATCCAATCAGAAAACCATAGGTTGACTGCCATAACAGTCATGCCATGGTTGCATCAGAGGTCATGTCTTGTCTAGTAGGTTATTATCATAGTTCATAGGCATCATAGCTAGGAAAGACTATTGGTGACTTCTTTCTCCAGCAGCCTACTTTCTGTCACTATGAAGTACGCACACACATACAAATTAATAATGTAATTTTAAATGACTTTCTTGGTATTACTTTTGAAGTTTCTCATTCTGTTTATTACATATCTATTTGTGATTGAAGACACAGATATATACTATACCTATGATAAACATGCTTAGTTGCTTAGGAGTCAACAGAATGGTACAGTCTTGAGATAATTATACCATCAAACTACAGCTTTTAGCTATGTTCTGTTCTTGATACAAGCTATACCATTTAATTCCTTTTCATTTAATGACTGTATGCTTTAGGCACTGCACTTAAACATCAGCTATTTCTAGGAGACTACTGAGTGTCCTGTTTAGTTTTTTGGACAGAGTCTTGCTTTGTAGCCCAAGCTGGCCTTGAATTTCCAGCAGTCATCTGCTTTATCTGCTAAGAAAAACACAAAATTGAGGAAGTTATTTTCCTGGCCTTGAGTAGTTTGTTTCCAAATAGAAGATTTCAAAACATAGTCTCATTTGCCATTTAAACTCTTGCTATGTGTCCAATACTGTGCTGGATACAAGCATTGTTCTGTTAATCGTCGCAGCAAGCCTAGCAGAAAGGCATTGTTGTTTTCCACATTGTTTACAGTGATAATTGAGACACTCGTAACAGCAATTAGTCCACGAAAGAAAACCTAGTCGTTTATATGGCTAGAATTCAGGCCAGTGATTCAGTCTCACTCAAGTCACTCGGTGTCTAATGACTGTTATTGTCTCTACTTCCCGCTACAGGTACAGCTCTTCATTTTTCATTTGAATTCAGATATGATGTTTCATGAGCAAAAGCAAATAAGAAATATAATGCTAGACTGCTTTTCTATCTAATCATGATATATCTTAAAATAAATGGTAGCAGGTTGCTTCTCTTTTTTTTTTTTTTTTTTTTTTTTTTTTTTGGTTTTTCGAGACAGGGTTTCTCTGTGTAGCTTTGCGCCTTTTCCTGGAACTCACTTGGTAGCCCAGGCTGGCCTCGAACTCACTGAGATCCGCCTGGCTCTGCCTCCCGAGTGCTGGGATTAAAGGCGTGTGCCACCACCGCCCGGCCAATCTTTTTTTTTTTTTTTTTTATAAATTATAGAAATGAGAAAAATAAAGTCTCCTAGGTACAGTTAAATATCTACTGAACAATTAAAACATTTTTGTAGTTGAAATATTAAAAGATATATTGCTAAAATTAAAGATTTCCATATATGTCTCAACTTCAAGTCAATGTACTTTAAATAAATTGAGTGGATAATATAAATATAGTCTATTACAATTGTTCACACATATATTATTTAGATGTACAGGTGGATACATAACAGAAAATCTTGACTCTACCTATTGAAATAATACAATAATAATAATAATAAGTTAATTGGTACTTTTAAATGAAATGATTTGAAAAAGAGTATTATGAACTAAATTTGTACCAAGTAAGTGAACAATGTTATTCATATTCCTCAGCACCATCATTCTCTTATATAGACATTTCCTGGGGAAAGAGGCAGCAGTGTTTTGAATAATTTATTTTTTTAGTAATTAAAGTTGAAAGGTAAGTTGAACTAAAAAAGTGAGTTGCCACCTAATTTAATTATGGATTTCTAGATTAATGAATTTGATTATTAATGGTTTATGGCATCTTAGAAACAGTCCCTTTATTTTACATTTGAAGTCAGTTTTTAATAAAAATGTATATAGCTAGAAATTGTGAGGTCCAGAAGAAAGAAAACCAGTCATTTGGATATAAATGTTTAAGCTATGGCCACTTACTGTTCAAGTTGTATTGGTTAAAATGTATCTATCAAATATTTATACTGAACCACTATTTCTCATGGATTATTTTATGAAATGACAAGTCTTCAAGTCACAGCTAGTGGTTTATATAAAATACCTGTTTTTTCAAAAGCTTTGTGAAACTCGCCTGTACCTATATTTAAAAAGTTCTCAAAAACTAGACTACTAATAATTCTTAAAAATAAGCATGTTTCAGCATAAGGTGTATAATGAGCATAAAAGAAGTTCCATGAGCTGAGATTCTCTTGCGCAGTGATACTGGCATAGCATAGCCATACTAGGTGGGTTTTTAGAAGAAGAATCCAGAAGTAACAACATAGTAATAATACGTCACTTATTTACATCATACTAGCTATAATGTAACGAAACACATATTGTTTCTAATTTTCAAAACTATCATGCAGGAAGGATATGATTATTATTGTCATCTTACAATAAGAATATTAAAGATTAATTTGCCCAGATTTGCTCAGCTGTGCGTCTCCTTTGCTCCAAGGTTCCAGGCTCCAAGGTCCCTATCTCCCTTTCCTTTTTTCTTTTTCTTTTTTAAATTTCAGCTTGAGGACTCTTGGCAACTGATCTTTTGTTGTCAGTGACAAAATTCAATTATGTCCATTAGTTTTAACATTAAATGTATTTTATGAGAGTAGGTCATTAACATAAAATATTTATGTTGGTTTTCAATTTACCAGAATATTTGAGCACCCTAGAATCCCTTGAATCCTGCCGTGCCACTTAACTATCTAATTATTTCAATTCCAGGAAGATTGAGCTATTGTAAATAATGACTTTTTCTAATATTTCTAGGATTCATCAAAATTCCTGCGAATACTCAGAAATTAAGCTTCACTTTTCCCCTGGCTTTTCTAAAATGCTTAGTTTTTCATTAATTAGATTTTGTATTATCTCTAGGTTTTCAGTGAAGCGCAATGGATTAAAGAGAAAGTTGATGACTACTAGAATTGGTCTTTATACAGAGGCAACTTGACCAGATTTTTTTTCTTTCAAATTTTTATCAGAAATTTAAGAGCTGTGCTTCCTAATGTTAAGCAAAATGTTTATTTCCCAGATTTTACCTAAGTGTTCTTCCCTAAGGCCATTGCTGTTTTGAAACTTTTAATGGCCCTCACTGGGGTGTGGTGGAAAAGCTGCAATTACTTTGCTAAAAGCAAAGGTTTCATATAAATTTTATTTTTGTTTTAGGATAATTGCTGTTCACTTTTGTTTTATATGCAACTGAGTTGGGTACTGCAGTACCCTCGGTGGACAGTGTAAGTGCTGAAATAGGAGCAGGCTAATGATGGCTTTCTGTGCTAATACTGACAGCTTGTGCGTGTTTGTCAATCTGTGTCAACAGTATCGATCGGGATGGGATCCACATAGAGGGGCAGACACTGTCTCCACTAAATCCTCGGACAGTGATGTAAGTGACGTGTCTGCGCTTTCCAGGACTAGTAGTGCCTCTCGTTTCAGCAGCACAAGCCACATGTCCGTCCAGTCAGAGCGGCCGCGGGGAGACCGGAGAATCAGGTAAGGGCGCTGGGGCAGCAACTGTCCTGCACTTCAGACGGCCTTCTTCCTTTGGATAAATAGCAAATAATCTTCTAAAATACTGGCATATATATAGTAAAAGCAATAGGATATTCTATATATGTTATTTTATTTTATCTTGGTTAATTTTTATGGAACTGATGATAGTTTTGTGTACTAAATTACTTGAAATAATATCTTTGTGCTTGTAACTTATAAACAGCCATGGTTAGATCATTATTAAATTAAAATGTTGGTTAATTAAAGGTGTGAATCTAACATTCTGATAATTATGAAAAACAATTATCTTGGAGGGTACTTCTTTCTGATTGAATATATTTCCTTAATTAAAAAAAAACTATTACTTTTTTAATGGGAGGCTTTCTTACCCTCTTGAAAGTATTATAAATACATGGAAACATTCTTGACAACCTCAAGAAAATTTAGTATACATTAGCTTTTCTTCCAGTTCCCTCTTGTCTTGTTGCTTCGTGGATATTGGAACTCTCTCTAATGGAGAGACTACAGACCCAGCCCGCTTCCCGTGTCATTCTGTAACTAAAGATACAGTTTTAAAACTATCATGATTAGGTGTAGCTTGCCAGTGTGTCTCTGGTATGCAGTGAGAAAATGCATTCAACGTTTAAGCGATTTCAGTTTCACCTAAGTTTGATCGTTTTCATTGTCTCTCTGTTTCATTTCACTTGCATTTTCCTTGACTTTTCTTTTTTCTCTTTTGTGTTTCTTTGCATGCCTTCCACTTACGTTTCATTCAAAGGATGAAGGGAGTAGAGGGAGGAGGGGGAGGAGGGGCTGAGCAAGGAGAGACAGTGCAGGAGGAGCAAGAGGTAAAGAAGGAGATAATTAGTGAAGATGGGCGAGGGAAGGAGCTCGCAGAAACACACCATGAGCAGAGACACAGAGAAGCAGGAGGTGAGAAGAGACACAGAGAAGCAGGAGAGGAGAGGAGACACAGAGAAGCAGGAGGTGAGAAGAGACACAGAGAAGCAGGAGAGGAGAGGAGACACAGAGAAGCAGGAGGTGAGAAGAGACACAGAGAAGCAGGAGAGGAGGGGAGACACAGAGAAGCAGGAGAGGAGGAGAGACACAGAGAAGCAGGAGAGGAGGGGAGACACAGAGAAGCAGGAGAGGAGGGGAGACACAGAGAAGCAGGAGGGGAGGAGAGACACAGAGAAGCAGGAGAGGAGGGGAGACACAGAGAAGCCGGAGATGAGGAGAGACACAGAGAAGCCGGAGATGAGGAGAGACACAGAGAAGCAGGAGGGGAGGGGAAAACACAAGATGCTCCCGAGCCGGGGAGAGACAGAGAGCACGTGCTCAGGAGTGTCTCCCAAGACGACGATGAGGACAGGTAAAGGTGCCAGCTGCGGAGGGCTCCCCGTAGTAGCGCGCCTCTTCCCTTCCTAAGCATTGTTCCCCGTTCCCGTTCCGAGTTCCCTCGTCTTCTCTTGTTGTGCCTGTGTGTGTCTGCTGCTAACACAACCAATTAGCACACTGCAAATTACCATCAGGTTGGTTTACAGGACGTTGATTTGTAGCCACTAGATCTGATTGATTTTGTTTACCAACAAATTCAAGTTTGATTTTACTTTGTGTTCTTAGCATGAATTCACAGTCTATTTTCCCTTGCTTCCCTCTAAAGATGAGTGAAAGCGGAACTTGCATATCCTTTTACCAAGAGTGGAGACTCTTTAGGGAAAAGGCAGCACCCTTAAAATAAGATTCTATTTACAAAAAATAATTGCTTAGTAGAAAAAATCTTAAAAAAAAATTGAAAACGCTTATTAAGTCTCTATTTCCCTTGAGACTTACTGATTTTCTGAGATATTCTAGTGCAGTTTGAGGCCTGAGAACAGTTAGAAACAGGGGCAATGTTCTCCATATCCTGGCATTTGTGGTTCTTCTAGTTTTGTTGTTTGAAACAGTATCTCACTCTTAGCCCAAGCTGGACCTGAACTTGCTATGGTTAGGCCAGGCTAGTATCAAACTCATAATCCTCCTGCCTCAGCCTCTTAAATGCTCAGACTCCAGGCATGCACCATGCTCCCTGGTCCATGATTCTCTGAAAGGAAATGGTAGCTACCCAGGTCTGTCTGAAGGATAGACGTGTTAGATCATGTTCTTCTTACCATGCACCCAGTTTTAGTGACTGCGAGGGCAGGGAGGTGGCCCAGGAGACACAGTACAACACAGGAGCAGTTGCTCCCCCCAACACTGAGTCTCCTGGTGTGTGCAGCACAGTGGAGTCCACAGTGTGCAGGCAGACGGCCCATCTCAAGATGAAGTGTTTGCTTTAATTACATCTGTTTGAGAATGAAAATTGCAAATAATGTCATTTTTAAGGAATCGAGTTTTCTAGCAGAAATTAATTTTTAAATTATACAAATTTTACTTGAGAAGCAAAACCTGTTTATATGTCAGATTTAAATTACTATATCAAAACCCATTTCACATTGTGCTTTTCTCAAAATGAAGAGAGGACAATCGGGGTAGGAGTTTTCTCATTTAGTATACAATTCAGTTGCGTATATTTCCTTTCTTCTCTCAGATATATCTGTACCCTACTAGGTCTTTATAGCATATAGTAAACATAAAAACTTATCTTTAGTAAGGCACATTATGTGATTTGACTCTAAACCAGTAGTTTCAAGTCTGTTTTGTTATATATCTAACTTGATAATTACATTGAGTTATCATATAACTAAAACAACCATTTCCTGATTTGTGGACATTATGATCATGTCACAACTAACTCATAGAGGAAAACTTTCTGAAAGATAGACTACTTTCTTCAGGAGCATAGCAAAATGTGAGTCTCATGTGTTTTCTCTGTGCTGTACAGAGAAGACATGAGCCTTTGAAGTTTGCCTGGAGCCAGTTTCTTACTGGTATACCTGGCTTAGTAGGCCAAAGCTCAGAAGTGTATGACATAAGCGCTCCACTTTTAAATGCTGCTATCACCATTTTCTTCAGGACAAAAAGGTCACTTTATTTTATGAGGGCAAGGGAGATGAGCATATTCCTAGTGAGATGATTATCTTGTACTGTGGATGCTGTGGACCTGTAAATTTCAAGGGCCAGGTTGATGTCTCTAGACAACTTATGTTTCTTAAGATGACAAGAGGTAACTACTACAATTGCTCATAAGAAAATGTTAGTGTTCCTCATTCATTATGACTATAAATTCTTGAATTTGCTTTAATTTCTTAGGATCAATCTAACTATCTTTATTCTGAGGGGAACTATGTATGGTTATTATTAGCAACATTGTGTTTTGGTACTTGATATTACAATCATAGGCTGTTTAAAAACTAAATGTAACTTAAATTCTTATACAACATTGTTGGAAACTGTCTTATTCTACAGTAAGCCATGGACATTTCATATCTTTCACTTTGAATTAAAGTTTTACCAAGAAAAAAGAATTGTCACTGTTGAGTATTTATAGCAGTTCTAATTCTTACCATAATGACTTTAATACACAAGAATGCTGTTATGATTGTTATTATCTTTGCAATGATTAGACCTTGTTGCAGGATGCATATTTCAATGCAAGACTGTATTGTTCATTTGTAGTGAGTCATATTAAAGTAAATTTGCTAAATGTTTAAGAAAATGGGTAGCAGAAGTAAATTTAAAATGGTTCCTTAAATGTTAGTTTTTATATTTTGATTAATGAATGATAGCATTCATAATTGAGTGTTTATATTTACACAAATACATATCTGGTAAAATTTTCCCGTCACCTTAGTGATTGCACATGGTATACTGTAGAAGGTACAAGTATATTATATACATTTTCTGGTTATGTTATATAATAGGGGAAGAGAGAAATTAGGACTAGATAAGATACTGAGAGATAAAGAGAAATCATTCATTCAACCAATATTTATTTAGAAAACATCTCATGTACTGAACTGATAACTGAGACAGAAACGAAATGAAACATTTCTACACTGGAGGTAAAATGGTTTCTTAGTTAAAATAAAAATAAAAAACAACTCGTCAGTGTAGCTGTTGGAAAGCACAGTGCTGTAGGAAGGGGATAGAAGCCGAAAGCCAAAGAGCGACGAGAATACCTTTTCAGACCTGCCATCTCCATAGCTTTGTGTCCAGACTAAACCATAGCCATCCTTCCATGCCCTGCTCTGGGACATGAGACAAAGATTAAAAGTTAAGAAACTTGCCGGGCGGTGGTGGCGCACGCCTTTAATCCCAGCACTCGGGAGGCAGAGCCAGGCGGATCTCTGTGAGTTCGAGGCCAGCCTGGGCTACCAAGTGAGTCCCAGGAAAGGCGCAAAGCTACACAGAGAAACCCTGTCTCGAAAAACCAAAAAAAAAAGTTAAGAAACTTGCCAAGAGGTGGTGGTGCATGCCTTTAATCCCAGCACTCAGGAGGCAGAGCCAGGCGGATCTCTGTGAGTTCGAGGCCAGCTCGGTCTACAGAGGGAGTTCCAGGACAGCCAGGGATACACAAAGAAGCCCTGTCTTGAAAAACAAAAACAAACAAACGAGAGACAGAGACAGAGAGAGAATTTTCATTAGTTTTTATTAGTACTATATCTATAAATGCTGCACAAATATACTTTTCATTTTTAATGAAGACTACTCTTCCAATAGGAATTTTTTGGAAGAAAACATTGATATAGATTCAAGTTTTCATGATTAGTTGTTTTTATAAGAGAGATTTACACTATTGAATTATCGAGACAGGAGAGCAGTTGTTATTTAAATATTTATACAAGATATTGCTGATGGGATACTAATTTTGCATCATAGTTTCCATTATGGTTAAAATGAGGAAACAGACTTACACCGCTTTAATGGAAAAGTATTATAGCTGGCACAGTGACTCGTGTCTGCAATCCCAGCACCTGAGAGGCTGAGGCAGAGCTACACCCTTTGTTAAACAAAAAGGAGGCGGGGCCAGGTCAGAGGACCAACAGTAATATTTCATGTACAAATAGCTATGACTGGGACTCTAAAATCATGCGTTCTCATCTTCACTCTGGCCTGTATAGCTGCCTGCTTTATCTTCCTAGGCGTTTTTACCTTGTCAGTGGTTCACTCTTTGCCAGAGTTTGGATGCACACAGTAGACAGCAACACCAGCACACACCAGCACGTGTCGTTCTGATGATGTGACCTTATAATCAGGAACTCAAGAGGTAACTGCTTCCGTAGTTAGCCAAGAACGCAGTGAAATGTGTTTCCATCAGTTGGAAGATATTTTCAGAATGCACCATTATTTAGCACTCGACTTACATTAAGTTCATTTTTTGTTTGCATTCTGGAAATACTTTTCCATGCCAACTCATCTCAGAGGACACAGTAGACTTCTCTCTTGTATGTAGTTGCACCAATGGCATGTGTTTTCCTTTCTCGATGAAAATACAGCTTGCCTATAATAATATGAGAATCTTGTTCTAACACTATCTTATGCTCATATAACACCAAAAAAGAAATAGAAATATTTGGACACTACCCCTACAATTGTGATTCTGTATATTTAGAGTAGGGCTCAGGAATGTCTATATTGACAAGGAATACCCCAGAAAATGAAGATGCTGTCTGTTTACTCCTTGGAGGAACTGTATTTTCTAATGAATCCTGAAATCAGTTGGGGAGTTTCTGAAAAAGAAAGCAGTTGGAATTTTGTTAGAGGTTGGGTTCAGTCAATTTGAGAGTTATTGCCACTTAAAAATCAATTTTTAATTATTTAAAATGTTATTGCTGTGTGTGTGCTGGTACATGTCAGAGGGAAACTGTACAGTTGGGTTTTTCCTTCCTCCTCCCCATGCATTCTAAGGATCAAACGCAAGCCATTGGGCTTATACAGCAGGCACCTGTGGGCTGAGCCATCTCCCAGCATGGAGGATTATTGCCATTTTTCAGATTATGTTTTGCAGTTCACAAACATGAGGTGTTGTTCCATTTATTTTTTCTTTACTTTCTTGCAATTACATTTGTATTTTTACTGTAATCATCATACACTTTTTTAAAAAAATACTCTTTGCATTTTGTTTTTGGTGCTGTTATAAATAATTGCTAGGATCTACATTGATTTCTGTTTATTGATTTTGTATACACAGTTTTCCATGACTCTACATACAAGTCATCCATGATTAAAGATCACTTTACATCCTCTTTCACAATCTGAAAGCTTTGATTTCTTTCCTGTGATAATTGACCTGACTAGCCATCCACTGTAGTCTTAAATAGAGGTGGCTTGTGGAAGTCCTTAGAGCAGCCATGTAGAATTACCTTTGCATTGGCTGTGAAAGATGTTTGAGGATGCTCTCTCTTAATGACACTTGCCCATTTTAGAAAAATTGTGTCATCATCTTTCTTT